CTACATTAATAGTAGTGACTGATGACGATCATGAAAAAGACGATGATGATGACAGCAGCAACGATGGGGGACAGCGACAGTAACTGTAGCAATAATAATACTTAATAATAACTAATAATAATAACAATAATATCAGTGATATTAGCAATGGCAGTCAAGCAGGACCATGGCAGGAGGATCCACCAGGATCCATGAGAACCTGCGAGACGAGAAAGTACAAATACTCAAGGGGAAGAAGTGAAGTTGGTGACATAAATTAATGGAATGTAAATGCGTGCAGAAAGAGAGAGAAAGAGATGCTCATTACATCATAGGAAATCCCCAGGCAGTCTACGCCTATAGCAGCATAACTAACTAACTATATGCTTTTTTAAAGAGGAACATCTTAAGCCTACTTCAAAGAATCTATTTCCAAATAACCTCAGCAGTGTGACACTTTTTTAACCTATAAACAGGATTTACAGTACTCCATAGATACTGGCCAGACTGCAGGTAAACTGTGAAGCAAATTAAATTAATTTAGATTAGGTGAGTTTACCCTGTACTGCATCCAACAGCAACAACAGGTTACAGTTTGAGTTAACAGGTGTGAATCCAAACATAACTCTCCACCACTTGGCTCGCAGAGAATTCCAACAAAACTCAAATATCCCCCTCCCACTAAGTCAATGCCCGACAAGCTCAACAGTACAGTTTTAAATGCAAATCACCAAAGGGACTGTAATGCGTGTCTCATTTTTGAGAAAAAGACATAGGCCTATACAGTTTGTAGGTATTCGTATACCACATAACCACAGACAACACATAAACTGAGATGCTGCCTGCCAAATTAACCTCAGGTTCTTTATTACTGTAGACTGATATTGAGATACAGTTTGCTTTCCCCCCCACAACTTATGGAAGGTTCCTGACTTTATTCAAAAGGTCAAAAAGGCAACCTGGGAAGTGGAAATTTAAGTCTTCAAATGGATTGCTGTAAGTGACCAAACATTCGCAATATAAAACAAGGCAGAGTAATATCTCTACAACAAGATTTAACAACACCATGGCATTATTCTGGAGCACATAAAACTAACCATACAGGTTTAGGCCTTTGGTTTGGATTAAAAAGGGAAATAAGAGTTGCAATACATGGTCATGAACAAGGAATGCAATCCGCCATGATCTCACACCTCGGATAAAATACACGCATTTTGTCTAAAATCACATAATTGCCAATCTGGGATGTAATCTCTCCTCCTGCGCTCGCTGATGGAGTAAATTTGAGGGCTGTTTTTTGCCTTTTTCACAGCAAACACGTTGACTTCTTATGGCAGGACATGTGTTATAGCATTAACGATGGTTCTTCTATTCAAGTCGTCCGACTGACAGTGAGCCAACGCGTATAAGACCACACAAATGGGGATAGATGGAGTCTTCCCTTTAAATATAGCACTACAGCTGTATTTGAACATTTCAAAGCTTTTGACACAGAAAATAACACAACTTAATACACCATATTTGTTTAGAATACAATAAAGGACGCAAACTCTTCTTTTTGTTGATTAAACATCTGGAATCTTCTTAATTTTGTATTCATACAGCATGTTTTTAAATTAGCGGGTTACAAAGTGAGTTAAGTCACACACTGTTTGGTGTTTATAGGTAGACATGGAGTCACTGAGTCATATAATGAGCTCTTATCATCTTACAATTGGTGCAGGAAGTTGTTTCCCATTTTCGAACCAGTGTGTGGCTGAACAGAAAACCCTATTAAAACTTTCCCATCCAGGAAGTTGTGTGCACTGTCTGGGAACGCAACATATCTGACATTTTTGTTATTTACTGCTGACTGCATCGTTGAAAGGTTACACCAGAGTTCAACTAAGTAAAAAAAAAAAAGAAGAAAAATCACCGTATATTATAACCATTTATATTATTATATACTTGTTCGTAAAAATAGCCTACTTAATATTCAGATATAGTTTTCAGAAATATATTTAAAAAATCAATAGTAAATTGAATAATAATAATAATAGTAAAAAGAATAGTAAAAAAAATAGAGACATTGAAATAACAGATGCTAAGAGGAGCTTTAGGTACTGTATGTGAGAGAGCGGGGGGACATGGTCAGAGACAGCCATTTCTGGTTTGGTTACCCAACATTTTTATCAGGGGCGGTTTCAGGATCACGAGCGAGGCGTGAAAATGTGTGCATTATACAAGTATTATTACATTTTATGTCTCTTCTTTGTTTTTTACAGCAATGCAGAATTTACAAAAAATATTGTAAATGACAAGCAAACAGGCACGAATGCGGGATGAGAAACAAAACAATGACAAAAATATAATTATAGTAATAAAATATAATATGTATGTTGTAGACCTTTCTTTGCTCTTGGGTTAACCGGAATATCGATTGAGTTGTTGCATTTGGGCACAATTTATGAGTTTGTATGTCTTTGAATGCTTTTTGTCTATGTGATAAACTTCTGTGACGTTGGTCAACAGTTTTTGTATGGAGGAGGAACCAGGAAAGGAAAATCTAGAAAGATAATCTAGACATAAATTCCCGATGACAAATGTGGCGTCAAATGACGCTCTGCGGATATAAAAAGCATGAAGGTAAAGGAGAGTACAGGACACGAGCGGTTCAGTTAGTTTTGCGCAATAGATGCAGGTAATATCCTATGATCAATAATACTGTATTCGATTGTGTCGTATTTAAAAACATTTGTTTTGAGGGAAATTCGGAAATATATGAGTGTTATTTATTTGACCTGTGTGTATGACTGCAGAATATTTGTCTGTTTTTGTAGAGATGAATCGGTTTGTTTTCCTCCTGGCTGCTGGTCTTTACCTGTTCCTGCAATGTCAGGTGGATGCTGGTGAGTACTACCTCTATCATCTTACTTTAAATAGCTACAAATAGCTTTAGATACATTCACTGTTTAACCGATTTAAAATAATCTCATCCTATTACTATTTATAATCTTGTTTTTGTTTTGTTCTTCAGTTATGTTACAATAAATATTTTGTAAAAAGCTGTAATTGTGTGGCTTGAATGAAACCTAAAAATTAACCCAACCAAAACATTAAATAAAATAAAATAATGCATTTGGTTTCAGAATCACGTTTGAGCCGGAGTGTCATTGAAAGGGCCGTGAGCGCAGCAAAGGCTAATGTGGACTCTGCTTATACATACTCCAGGCGAGAGTGAGTGTACAAACCTGTTCAACAATTCTTCAGTGATTGAAAACAATACAGCTTAAATGACTACTGAAGATATTCATACATCTGATCTCTCCAAACAACAGGA